TACTACTACTACTACTACTACTACTACTACTACTACTACTACTACTACTACTATACAAAGGCGATTCAAAACGCATCTCATTTGCAACGGAGGAATGGAGCAACTCAATGAGTACAGATGACCTAAGACGTAGGCTCACTCCTTCTGCGCGAGTGAAGCTATGGCGGTTGCAAGGTGGTGCAGCGTTGTTGGTTCAACTCTCAACGGAGAGGCGGGATTGACTAGTGAAGTGAGCAGAGATGGCATTTTGTGACGATGGGTGACCGGTGCGGAGTGGGTTTGGCAGGATAAGGTTGATCTTGGTGGTCTCATCGTTGAGCCAGATCTTTGGCAACTGAACGATGCCTCTCAGCTCGAAGCAGTTGTGGAGTTGTGGAAGATGTTCAGATGCACCACGCACATATACATACAAAGTAGACAACTACAGTTGTTTTTATTTTTTCCGTAGTCTGCAGTCTGCAGCTGTTTGTGATGCTCTTAGACTTCGTGCGATATGAGTTGCTTGTCAGGTTCAGCTAGCAAAAGTGGAAGACCTCACGGTGATGCGCCATGGAGTGGGGTACGCCATAGCAGAAAGAGGGATGAGGGTTCATGCGGGATGAGGGCTGGCAAAATACATCAACAAGCCTTTACCCTCTGGCAACAGGATAGGAGACCCGATCGTGTAGCTGGGTATGAGATGGTATGAGTTGATTTATATAAGGCCCAGCCTCTTGATTTGTCCATTTCTTAAGCGCGACGCTGCAGATGATTTCAATATCTTCCAGCAAAGATTCGCAACGGGTGCTCCAAAGTCGCTGCGCTTGCTTTCTTTGCAAAGGAATCGAGGCCCCAGCATACTTCGCTGGCACCCACCAATACTGACCGATGCAGTGAAATGATTCCCTGAGTTCCAAACCCAAACTCTGTGGTGAGGCCAAATGGCATTGGGCCATGCTTGTAATACACAGTTTGAAAGGTCACCTACACGGGTAGCTCTTGCAAAACAGTGGCGAAAAAGGCACGCCATGGCGGCGACAGTCCTTGTTAGTGCTACCACCTTGTTTCCACAGCTGAAGTCTTTTGTGAGAAGCTCTGGCAACAGAGCAGGAGCCTCAACGTCACATACATCAAGCATTAACATGTTAGGAGAGGTCGTGTCCAAATGTTTGCCGCGATGAGAATGCTAGTATTCTGAAGCGCGAAGAATGCGGGCGTTCTCGGGCGAAGAGATGTTGATTAGTGATTGACCATGATTGACCGAGGTCTGTGGGTGTTGGGTGGTTCCTCTTGGTTCCTCCCACTGGACACTGGAACTGCTTTCGGTGAAAACACTTGACACTGGAAAAGAAGGCACTTTCACTCGGGTTCAGTTCCTCTTCATGTCTCACGTTTGCTTTCTGATTTCTCTTGTAGAGCCTTGTAGATTGGGGAAAGCCTTTCCAATCCACCACCACAGCATGGTGTCTTTTCATTTCGGTCCTCCGTGGTATTTCTGGCAGTTGGTCTGTTTTGTTCTTCGTCAGGTGTGTGACGTTTCACGGCATCACCGATTGCCGGGAGTTGGTCTACTGTTTGCCTGATGTCGTGGTGCTCAATCCCGGCGAGGCGTCGTCTTGAACAGTTGGCCTGGACACGAGGCTCAGCCTGCGAACCAAACCAGAAAGCACTTTGCAGGTGGTGATTTATCCAAACCAGAAAGCTCGTGGCTCAGTGGTGTGATTCTTGCCCGCCTCATATGTCTCGACTCTGAGGTGAAACCACCTGTGGGTTCAGGGCTGAACAAGGCCTCCACGATCAAGCTGTGCCCTGTCGACCGGGTCGTGCGCTGGATCTCCGACCGCTGTTCTCTCCGCGGTTCCTGAGACTCCTGAGGTATGGCTGTCATCCAAAGAGCCAAATCTTCAAGGATGAGAGTCCTGACTCGATAGTTACCTTGACTGTCGAGGACGTGCACGGATGGCTTCTGGAGAATGAAGTTATAGACTGATAGATGAAGAGCGGATGGAAAGAATGTTTTTGAGACATTGGACAAGTTTCTTGATTTGAGCACTTTACCCTGAAGATTTGTAAACAGACTCCTCTTAGCTGAGGAAGGCCCGTGAGAAGTACCGCACTCGAGTGAAGACCATGACGGAGGATGCCACACCTTTCTTATGCTTTTCGAGAACACATCAAAAACACGTTGCGACATGCAATCGAGCTCACAGATGTACTTCCGCAAATATCAGCCGGTTTGTTTTGTGTTTGGGGTCGAAGCCATGGCTGTTGTGTGTGTGCAAACCAACCGACAATGGCTGTTGTTTGGGGTCGATGCTAATTTCCGTCCATCCATGGCTCGTGACTCAGCATCCTTGGCTCTTGTTACTGCGCCTTGACAGGAAAAGGGTGCTGACTTTATTGACTACGACTGCTAACTCCTCAGCTGTTGGACATCTTTTTGTCGGCAACCAAACGCTCTTTCTCTGAGGTGATCAGGGTGTGTGGCAGTTTCGAGTGAGCCATTTCTAAGGAAAGGCCAAGGAACAATGGTGGATGAGCAGACAGATAAAATACACCACACCTCCAAAAGTAGCAAATGCCATGCCCAACAAATGGATACAAGTGGGAAGAGTATACAGTATATGGGTACAACACATTTGTAAAACATGAGCGTTTTGGGCGATGAAGTAGTGCATGATTTAGTGTAGCAGTGTAGCAATTGAATGTACAGACATAGCAGCTTGGTGAGAGAAGGTCTTGGGACTTTCTTTGAAGTGGAACATGCTGCTTAATTCACAGGCTTTCCTGCTTGACGTGATGCAAGCATTGAATTAGTCATCTTGCCGACATCTGATCATCAACTGCCGGCAAATTCGTTTCGTTAACCGCAGTGCATGGTACTAGAAACAGGCTTCATAGGATTCTTCTATGCAAAGGGCCCTGCCGACAAGCATGTATATATGTATATGTAGTGTGTATGTACAAATGTACAAATGTATATGTATATATATATATATAAATATGATATGCTATGTATGTCTATATATACACACATTTACATCCTCCCAACGTACCTACTATTCGTGTGTTCGTGTGGTACAAGGAGAGATGACATATGATGTGTGTGTATATATATATACGACTGCACCTTCTCTTCATAAATGGACTTGCTGCAATTTGTCTTACGCTACTTGTTTAAAGTGCTCTTGCTTGCTCGAACTTGGCTTTCCAGATTTACTTGGAAGAAAGTCTTGGTTCTCTGGCGCAGAGTGAGGAGTTGCCCAAGAATTAAACTACTTCTGCAATGTGCCTTTCCTTGAAGTTAGCACTTTGCTATCATGCTAAAATGTCAACAATGCATGTTATATGGCCAAAAAAATCAAACAGTGAATGCCTTCAGCAAATTTGCTTTTATCCTGCACAACTTCACTTCAACCTCAACTTGATTGAAACAATGCAGGGTCAGTGTGCTTTGCCGGTTGCATGAAGTCAATAAGTCAATCCCTTAAATCCTTTGGACTCCTCAAACCTTTGAAACTTCGGGGTTAGTTCCACAGGGTCAGCACGGAGCTGCTTACTTTCGGAATCTCAGAGACTGGCTCAAAATGTGCGAAAAAGGTGAAACACAAGGATTGGCTTGTTTGTCGCGCCATCTGCGGCGAACTTATGTCGGACTAACGATTGGGGTGTCGGTATTTTCGCGGCTATTCTCTATCCTGCACTTGCTGCACCGTATATTCCCTCGGTTGCCTGTTTCCTTTTGTCCTCACCACACTGTTCGTTCCATGTATGCACGTGCTTTCCTTTCTTTATTGCGTGGTGTTTAATTCATGAAGCACTTTCTGGATTCGATCTTCATGAAAGGAGATCCAAGCTGAGGAAAAGAACATCGTAGCAGCCAAAAAGGAAAATTGCTAAACCGGAGTCAGAGGATTTACCATTTGATGACGCAACTAAATGAAAGCGCACATATTATTGGAATTAAGCACATATTTTACATCTTTACCATGGAGTATTTGGGAACCCACAAACCTTGAAAGGATTTGCAAGGGTGGGTTTTGAAGATTGGGGACCTTGCAAGGCCTTGCAAGGTATGTGGCTTCCCAAATGTGCTCTGAGTACAGGTCCAAAATGGACTTTCTCACAATCAGTACAACACACTGCAATTCCAGTGCTTTCACACGCACAAGCTTATCAAATATGTATACATACATATAGAGATACGTTTTGTATCTGTATGTATGTGTGCAATGTAGTGTAATAGTGTAATGTACTGTAATGCAATGGTATGGTATGGTATATACATGTATCTACGGTTATCTATGTGTATATCATATTTGTGATTACGTGTCGTATGGATGTATAGAAGTATATATGTGTAGGCATTTTTGTGTGTATTTAATTGTATTTTCTTTGTCTCGCTGTTTGTTTGTCTCCCTCCCTCCCTCCTTGCTAGTTTGCCGGCCTGCCTGCCAGCCCGCCCGCCCGCCCGCCCGCCCGCCCGCCGGCCGGCCGGCCGGCCGGGCGGTCGGTCGGTCGGTCGGTCGGTCGGTCGGTCGGTCGGTCGGTCGG